TACAACCAGGTCCCGGTCACAGAGGGGGACAAGCCCAAGACCCGCTTTTTGCACACCTTTTGGGTTGTTCGAATGGAACCGCATGCCGTTCGGGTTGTGCAATGCCCCCTCTACCTTCCAGCGACTTATGGAGAGGATATTCGGGGACCAACAGTGCCAATCGTTACTTTTATATCTAGACGATATTGTGGTGTTTTCCACCTCTATTGCTCAACATTTGGAGAGGTTGGGGCTAGTTTTGGACCGGCTGGAGCGGGAAGGCTTAAAGGCTCGGTTGGATAAGTGCGCTTTTCTCCAGCGGGAGGTGAGATATTTGGGTCATGTCATTTCTTCCAAGGGAGTAGCCACCGACCCAAGTAAGATAGAGGCTGTGGCCCAGTGGCCTCGTCCATCTAGTGTCACAGAGTTACGGTCCTTTCTGGGGTTCTCCAGCTACTACCGGCGGTTTTGTAGCGGAGTTTGCCAAGGTGGCTGCCCCTCTGCATAAGCTGGTAGGGGAGTTTGCTGGTGTAAAGGGTAAACAGACAGGAAGGAACTTTGAGGAGGCCTGGAGTGAAAGATGTCAGGTGAGCTTTGAGGAGTTGAAGGAGAAGCTTACTACGCTCCTGTTCTTGCGTATGCGGATTTTTCTAAACCCTTCATCTTGGAGGTGGATGCCAGCTATCAGGGGTTGGGGGCAGTCCTCTCCCAGGAATATGAAGGTAAGGTAAGACCAGTGGCATATGCCAGCCGTAGTCTACGGCCCACGGAGCGCAACATGTCCAATTATAGCTCTATGAAGCTGGAGTTTGTTGCGCTCAAGTGGGCCATGACAGAGAAATTCCCGCGAGTACTTGTTGGGTAGTAAGGTTGTGGTATTTACAGATAACAACCCCCTTAGCCACCTGGCCTCCGCAAAACTTGGAGCAACGGAGCAGCGTTGGGCTTCTCAATTGGCGGCCTTTGATTTTGACATCAAGTACCGTTCGGGTAAAGAGTAACAGAAACGCAGATGCACTTTCACGGCGGGACCCCGTGGATCCTGGGGTTTTAGACGGGCTGGTCCCCGGCTCTGCAATTCCTGAGTCATTGCGGCCAATGTCGGGTTGGACTCAGCTGGAGTACTGACCCAATGCGTGATCTCTACGCTTCCCGGTTACTCAGTTGGTGAGTTGGGTTCACTGCAAGAAGCCGACTCTGTTATCCGGGAAGTGTTGCGATTCTGGAGACGTGGTACTCGCCCGAGCCATGAGGAACGACGCCGGCTGACTAAGGCAGCCCTAACGTTGCTCCGTCAGTGGGACCGTCTGGTTGAGCGGGACGGTATGCTTTATCGAAGAGTTTACTGCCCCGAGGGTAAGGAAGAGATGTTGCAATTGGTATTGCCTGCGGTCTTGAAGCCCGAGGTTTTGCGACAGTTGCATCAGCAACATGGTCATCAGGGCAGAGAGCGCACACTGGAGCTAGTGAGACAGCGGTGCTATTGGCCGGGATTGTCCTCTGAGGTGGCAAGCTGGTGTCAGGAGTGCGAGCGGTGCCAGTCAGCCAAGGACACCCAGCCACTCGCCCAGGGATTTATGGGGAGGTTAATGTCGTCTAGGCCAAACGACATCCTCGCTGTGGACTTTACCGTTCTGGAGCCTACGCACTCTGGCATTGATAGCGTCTTAGTAATGACTGACGTGTTTAGTAAATATACCCTGGCTGTTCCAACAAGGGATCAGCGAGCCGAGACAGTGGCTCAAGTACTGGTGACGGAATGGTTTTATAGGTTTGGCGTTCCGGGCCGCGTCCATTCTGACCAGGGTCGAAATTTTGAGTCCTTGTTAATCCGTCAACTATGTAACCTCTATGGTGTGGAGAAGTCTCGTACGACCCCATATCACCCGGCTGGCAACGGCCAGTGTGAGCGCTTTAATCGCACATTACACAATCTGTTGCGCACACTGCCAGTGTCCAGGAAACGTGACTGGGTAGCGTGTCTTCCCCAGGTAGTGTTCAGCTATAATAGCACCCCCCATCAGTCCACAGGGGAATCACCTCACTTCCTGATGTTCGGGCAGGAGCCGCGATTGCCCGTGGATTTTCTGTTGGGAAGAGAGCCACAGCCTATTGAGGGTAGTGTGCATGATTGGGTTTTGGAACACCAAACCAGACTACAGGTGGCCTTTGCAGGAGCACGCGAACGGTTGCAGGTGCTGGCCGACAGACGCAAGGCCCATCACGATCAACATGTCCGAGATGAACCGCTGGTGGAGGGTCAGCTGGTGTACCTCCGGGATTATGGGGTAAGGGGCCGTCACAAAATCCAGGACCTGTGGAGCCCAGTGGTCTATCAAGTGACGAGGGCACCGAAGGAGGGTGGTGTCGTGTACACAATTGCGCCTGTGGACGACCTTACCAAGACTAGGAACGTGCACCGTTCACTGGTAAAGAGTCGAGTCTGTAAAGATACTGAGGCCGCAGACTGCAGTAGTCCCTTCTGTGACCCAGTTGGGGACACACACCCAGTAGGTGAATACGAGGATGAGGGGGATCTGCTGGCTGTGGTACAGGAGCCTGACCGATTCGCAGTTGAACTACAACTGAGAGGGCTGGCACCTGAAGCGGAACCGGGCCCACAGGGGGGGATGGAACCTACAGAACCAGTTCTTATGATAGAGCCAGGACAACTGGATCCAGAAAGAAGTAGGGCCAGTACCCGGGGACCCCAGCCTGAGGGCCTGCCTAGGGCTGATGGGTTGTCTTGCGCCGAACAAGCCGTTTAACTGCAGGCCTACATCCAAATCGACATCATCTTCCCCGCCCGGTGGGAGAGATGGGAGGGGTCTCCCTTCAGCAAATGCAAGGTATAACACGCATTTTTAGGCCATGGGATTAAGTAGAGTTGACTGGGACCGTCGGGGCGACGATCCGAGGTTGGGGGGTAGATTGTAGTGGACTTAGTGGGGCTCTATAATTAAATTGATGCGCTGGGGGTAGTGAGGGCCAATTACCAGGAGGAGGCACAATATAAAAAGGAATCGTTCACCCTTGTGTGCGTGTGCCGTCTGAGTTGCGTCATTGCTCGGGGACCGCCCCTTCCAGCTTTCGGTGTTGTTTCCGCTTTGAGGTATGTGCTACCTGTCTCGTTTAGTGAACACAGGTGCAGGATTTGGGATAACCGATTGTGTCGTTTATAGCTTCAGGATAATTCGCGGCTGTTGGCGGCCCCAGCTTTCCGGTTGCATGCCTCTCTTGCTGTCTCTTTGGCAGTCCCGTCTCTCCGATACTTGAGGTAATGTATGTGTGTGTTGGCTAATTAGTCGACACCTTGATTGCGATGTGTTTTAATAATAACTGTGCGGGGTTTAGTGGTGGGAATAGCTCGTCGTGTGGGCTGCGGGCGGCGGCCGCGCTCCCTGTGCATGTCCCTCTCGCATTCCCGTGCTTTGTGGATGATGATGTCCGGCGTGGTGTAGGTGGGCGTCGGCTTATGAACAAAAGGTATGTGACACGTCCATTTTTGTGTAGCGCCAATCCTGTATTGTATCGCAAATATGTTTGTTTGTATTTTAGGATTAATAAGACCTGGTGGGAAACGCTGGTTGACGCTGCTGCTTAACTCCAGATTTTTATAACAACTCCTTCAACACGTGTGTGCCGAGTTTAAGTATGTTGTGTGTCACCTGCCTCCAGCCCGAGTCACCGTACGGCTGGAGGTTTCATTAGTTTTTTTTCAAATTGTTGTTTGTTTACTGCCTTCATTTTCTTTTGAGTATTTTCTATTTTTTGTTATTGTGCTTGGTGGTGTTTTGCAAATATCTGTTGAGGTCTGTTGTCCTTCTAATGTGCTGGTAGCAAGCCAGTGAGTTAATAGGAACACAGCGCAGACGGCAAACCTTGACTTTTATTTTTTTTGTTATTTTTATGTAATTGTGTATGTATACTTGGTGTAAGTGTTTGGTGAGTATTGAGACTGGTGGTAATTCTCATTCTCATTGCAGGAGCCGAGGCTTTAGGGCAGTCCTCTATCAGACCCTTACGTGTGGTGGTGGGCTCGTCACAGAGTGCTGTGCTGGACTGGATTGCGATGTGTGTGCATTGCTGTGGTACACAGGGTGTTGAGAGTTATATAGAAGCCTGGTGCGCCCTGAGAGGTGTCTGCCATTAAGCCTCGGTTCCCTTTTAGCTATTGTGTTTCTTTTGTGGGGAATGCTGATGACCTATTTCTTTCTTGATGTTTTTAATGGTGTGAATATTTAAATAAAACTTTTGCATATTTTGTATCCACGTCTCTGACCCTCCTTTTGACAATCACGTTCCTGCGTGTCTCCGGGTGTGAGACAGTAAACCTATAGTGTTAATATTTCCCTGGTAAACAGGGTGGCGTAGTCACGTTTCAGCCGGTGGTGGCATTTCTATAGTTGCTCTACCTCCGAAGAGAGAGGTCCCACTACATTCGCAATTCGATTCGCTTAACAGCAATTAAAAGTACTATTGGCCAGCATGGAACAGAACAAGAATAGCTCCTCTCTGAAAACCTGTGACATATTTTATACAGTTGATTTATTCATTAAGACAAGGATACTGAATGATTTTTAAAAATGTAATGTGTCGTCACAGTCCGCAGGGTTCTCAAGTTTGAGCAAAAGCTTGGAGTGAGATCACACGCGGTTAGGGGAGGAGCCATAATGAAGCCCCGCCCCACCCATCCCCGCCCCCAATTTTACCCATTGTTCATAATTAACCAGAACAAATTAAAATTATAACAATTAGTAAATCTGATAAATGACAGAGCAATTCATCACATCAAATACTCTTTAATGCAGTATTACAAATATAGCTAACCAAAAATATAACAAATTGCTCCAAACAGTTTCAAACAAATCTTTAAAAATTGCATTTTGATTTTTGAATGCGTCTTCTATCTAAACGAATGATTTATTGTGTGGTGGGACATTGAGAACAAATGGACAGATTAGAGTGCACCACCTCTTCCACTGTCTCCTCCTCTAATCTGGCAACCTTTTTAGGGGGCTTACCCTTTGGTGCCCAAAATGACAAAATATCTTTCTGCTTTTTTCCTGACATCTTTGAAAAATACAAATGCAACATTATGACAATGATTAAATATTACCCAGAGCAATCTGCTGTAATACATCCTTAATGTAACTAGAAAGACTATTAATATTACAGTATAATATAATTTAAAATAAAATCAGTAAATCTTCATTCCTTTCCATACCCACTAACATTTCTCTTAGTTTCAGATAACGTAAGATAGCCAAACTGAGCCTGGTTGCAAAGTAGTTGTAGAGTTTTTGACTGCATCAATAATAATGTACGATGGGCTACATATTAAATGTTCTAGCCCAAAAATGTTAGACGAGCTTCTTCCAACTTACCTTCTTCTTGTCACAGTCTGCCGTCTTCACCTGTCTGTCCCGTCATCTGCACTACACTTCCCAGGATCCTCTTGTCTCCACACCTGAACTCACTCCCTCATCAGCCTCCCGTTCAGCGTCCTGTTTCATCTGTTTCACCTGTTTGCACCTCATTACTCCTGATTCCTCTGTATTTAGTTCTCCCTCTTTCAGTCTGTCTTTGTCGGTCAATGTTAATGTTACCCTGTGTTCCGCCTGCCTGTATCCTGTTTATTTTGTGATTAAACCTTTTGTATTGGAGCCTTTTGGACTCTGCCTGTTCGTCTGCCTGCACCCACCCCGAGACACTTCTCCATCACGACACATGTGTTCGCGCGTTGTTGTTGGTTACCTAGTAACGAACGTACGGTGACCGAGGATGTTCCGTCCATTTCCGTGTGTTCGCGCTACTGAATGACATGTCATTGTATAGATCAGTGGTGCACGCAGCGCGCATATACGTATGTTGCCTAGTAACGAACGCAATCTGGCGGAGATACGCGCTGCCGGCAGGAAACTTCACTTTGTTTGCCTGCGCCTCGTATACAACGTTAGAAAGCTTTCAGCCAGGACAACTTGGTTGGCATTGCCTTTTCAGCGTGAGAAATACACAGTGTGGCGTGTGAGTGTGTGAACCGGTCGAAATGCGTGTGTCTCACGGCCAATGCGTGAGACTTGAGAACCCTGCAGTCCGTATCTCATTTTTTTTGGGGGGAAAACAGGTAAAATAAGCTTGAGCATTCTATACTTTTAGGGTCGCATCATGTGACATTGTCCCGTTTCTGGTTCGTTTACATGTATTTTGTCCATGTTGCATTCATATGCCTTTTTTGTGGTCTGGACCAAGCGAACCAAAATACAAGTGTGAGCACACCCTTCAGTGGTCTCGGTCTGCTTGTTTGGTGTGCACTAGGGTTCAGATGGCAGTGTTCACACATATTCAATTAAACCACACTTAAAATAGCAATCGCACTAGGGTCCGTTTTAATCAAACTAAACATGCCAAGTGTGAACACACCATTATACTTGTCTCTTGTGCCATTGTTTAAGCAATATCACTGTTAAGAGTTGTGTTACGGATGTACAGTATATCAGCATGGCTATGATTACTCATTGTTGATCATTACACAGGTTTAATAATATGGATTATCAGATATTTACATACATCTGTATCTAATAAGGGCCAGAGATACGTTAGCAGAGAGGATACATAGAATTCAGTGTGTGATTTGTAGTGTAGGCGGACGGCGTGGGCAGCAGGGATTGAGCCAAGTAGCCTCTGGCTGCCACCAAACACAGATCTCAGATTCTTTCAGCCTTCATGCTCATTAATCAGAGATGAGCATGATACCCCTGAGTGCTGAACTAGCATGGCATCCCATCTCTGAAATCCTAACAAACCACTGAAATATGGCTCAACTGATCCTTGAGGAAATTGACTGGTTTGTGCTGTAGGTTTTCTAATGTGCAGGATCAGGTTCACAGTGTATAATCAACATCTCCCTGCCCTGGCTCTCTTGCTGTTATTAGTGCTGGTATGGGATTGAATTGTGTTCTAGAACCAATAAGTTATATGGAGCCTCTGCTCTTTAAAGCTTTTTGAGTCAGTATCAATATACTTTGGTATTGTCACAGTCCTTCGTCTGCACCAGTCTGTCTTGTCATCAGCACTACACTTCCCAGGATCCTCTTGTCGCCACTCCTGAACTCACTCCCTCATCAGCCACCTGTTCCTCGTCTTGATCATCTGTGTCACCTGTTCTCACCTCATTATGTTTGATTCCTGCTGGTATTTAGTTCTCCCTCATTCAGTCAGTCTTGGTCGGTCAATGTTTGATGTTAACCCGTGTTTGCTCCTGTTTCCCTGTATCCTTGCATTATATTTTATAAGTAAAATCATCTTCTTCTGAATCTGGACTCTGTCTTCCCTTCTGCCTTCAACACGCCGTGACAGATTGACCGACCCTTGACAGTAACAGCATGGGACTTCTCCTAACCCCGGCTCTCACCACCCTCAACCTTTTCCAGGACGGACGCTCTTCAGAGGAGTATGTCGTCAGGTTCCTGGAGCTCTCTGCTGGGGTAAGTTGGTCAGATGACATCCTAAAGTCAGTCTTTTGGCTGGGTTTGGACGAGCATCTGTACCAGCAAGCCCCAGCAGCAGTGTTTCCAGGAACCTTCGCCGGCTACCTGGACCATGTGTTGTGGTTGAGTGGGTCAGCCTTCACCGTTGGTGAGGCTGAAGATGACAGCACCACTCAACCACACACACCCACCATCATCACCGTACCTGCCATCATCGCCCACCAGTCAGAGCCCTCTTCACCGCTGGCTCCGTCCAGCCCTCCCGAGCCTGATCTCCCCTCACCGCTGGTTTCGTCCAGCCCTTCCGAGCCTGAACTCTCCTCCCCGCTGGTTCCGTCCAGCTCTCCTGAGCCTGAACTCTCCTCACCGCTGGTTCCGTCCAGCCCTCCCGAGCCTGAACTCCCCTCACCGCTGGTTCCGTCCAGCCCTCCCGAGCCTGAACTCCCCTCACCGCTGGTTCCGTCCAGCCCTCCCGAGCCTGAACTCCCCTCACCGCTGGTTCCGTCCAGCCCTCCCGAGCCTGAACTCCCCTCACCGCTGGTTCCGTCCAGCCCTCCCGAGCCTGAACTCCCCTCACCGCTGGTTCCGTCCAGCCCTCCCGAGCCTGAACTCCCCTCACCGCTGGTTCCATCCAGCCCTCCCTTGCCTGAACTCCCTTCACTGCTGGGTCAGTCCAGCCCCATCCAGCCAGCGCCAGTGACCGTCCAGCCAGCGCCAGTGACCGCCCAGCCAGCGCCAGTGGCCGTCCAGCCAGTGGCCGTCCAGCCCGAGACCGTCCAGCCCGAGACCGTCCACTCCCCGTCTGCCCCTAATCCGGGGACTCAGCCCAAACATTTTTTTGGGGGGGGCCCAGTGTCCCAGCCACGGCCGCCCGAAGGGTCCTCAGCCTGCTCCGCCCTGGCCATGCCTTCAGCCTGCTCCGCCATTGCCCTCAGCCGGCTCCGCCCTGGCCTCAGCCTGCTCCGCCCTGGCCACGCCTTCAGCCTGCCACGCCCTCAGCCTGCTCCGCCCTGGCCATGCCCTCATCCTGCTCCGCCCTGGCCACACCCTCTTCCTGCTCCGCCCTGGAGGCTTCCTCCTCCAGACCATGCCCTCCACAGCCTCCAGGGCACCCACCCCCCCTCCCCATTGATGTTACGGCGTGAAGTCACGCCTACCGGGAGGGGGGAGTGATGTCACAGTCCTTCATCTGCACCAGTCTGTCTTGTCATCAGCACTACACTTCCCAGGATCCTCTTGTCTCCACTCCTGAACTCACTCCCTCATCAGCCACCTGTTCCTCGTCTTGATCATCTGTGTCACCTGTTCTCACCTCATTATGTTTGATTCCTGCTGGTATTTAGTTCTCCCTCATTCAGTCAGTCTTGGTCGGTCAATGTTTGATGTTACCCCGTGTTTGCTCCTGTTTCCCTGTATCCTTGCATTATATTTTATAAGTAAAATCATCTTCTTCTGAATCTGGACTCTGTCTTCCCTTCTGCCTTCAACACGCCGTGAGGGGTATATTACAGTGCTTGTTGTTTATTGAAGTAGCTGGATAAATCAGACATGTTAGCATTGATCATAACAAATAAGCCTTAGATTTAGAGATTACAATATGTTAGTGTAACTGAGGTTTAAGTGTACACTAATCCGGGTTGTCTTGAACCCCTGCAGACAGTTAGAACTGTGTAATGACATCAGAATGTAGTGAATTCACTCGGCAGACACCAAATCTCTTTGAAAGTGTTTACTGATGATAATTTCAATTGACAAGGTGTGGTTTCTGGAACAAAAAT